TCTCGGCGGCGCCGGCCGCGACGTCGTCGGGGCCGAGCGGCGGCGCCCAGCACCGAGCGCGCCCCGACGGGCCAGGAGGCGGCGGCCGTGGCGCGAAGAAGGCGGCGCAGAAGAAGGTGCCGAACAAGGCAGTTCCCAAGGAAGAGCTCGACCAGCCAGACACGCCAGAGCTCGACCAGATCAAGTGCGAGGCCCCAGTTCTCATGCGATCTCTGTTGAATGTCACACGGTCTGGCAGAGGCAGACCGAGGCGACGACGCTCGTCGCGCCGCTGACGCCAGGGGGCACTGCCCCGATCGCAAAGAGCCGTGCTCGCGCGAAGGCGCGAGTGGAGTCTGCCCAGGGCTTGAAAGTCCGCGGCAAGGGCGCGGAGATCGAAGCCACGGACGCCATCTCGCTCGCGTCGCTGGCGTGGCCCACGGAGGGATGCGTCGAAGCGGGCCCAAGCGTCTGCGCTGCGAACCAGAAGAAGCCAGGATATTGCCGCGACGAGGTTTCTCAGTCTTCACTCCTACGAGGCAGCCCAGAATGATCCCTTGTGGAAGTGCAGGTCGGCCAGGAGAGCAACGCAGCGAAGTATTGATGACCAGCGATTATTCCTGGAACGTATTGATCGATTGGTTGGTGCTGCTCGGAGCGGAGAAACAGCGGAGTCGCGCCCATGAGCCAATTTTCCGAAGGTGTTCCAGGCATGGCTGATGAATGGCGAGGTATGGCGAGCTGGCTATATGAAAAGCCACGGTGGGAGTTTAGAGACGAATCACAATTATTTGGTGTTGCCTGCTTCTGGCGCTCCCCCCCGAACTGTTGTGCTGCGACGTCGATCGACGTAAGGGTGCACGCACCAATGACCATTTCTGGAGGTACAGGGTCTTGACCAGCAAGGCCGGCCTCGGCTTCGAGGGCGGCGCTTGACGCCCGCCCGTCTGCCGCTGCCCAGGCTGCCGCATCTTCATTTTTTGTTTCGCATTATCAATTGCATAAAAAAAAACAAAAAATCCCCACATCCAAAGTGGGTCTCTTGTTTTCTTTGGACACCCCGCGCAGGAAGTCTCACCCCACGCCCCCTCCCTCTCCTCCTCCTCACCCAGCACCTCCTCGCTCACACTCTCACTCACTCATCATCACACTTCTTCTCGTCCTCCTCATCATCATCACCATCACCATCAGAATCATCATAATCGTCATCATCATCAGAATCATCATCCACTCACTCACTCACTCACTCATGATACCGGAGAAAAGCCCGATCAGATTTTCTAATATTCCAACTGCTCCCTTATAGGGCTACAGGGCTATCGGGCTATAGGGCTATAGGGCTATCGGGCTATAAGGCTATCGGGCTATCGGGCTATAGGGCTATAGGGCTATAAGACTGTGACCTATAGGGCTATGGGACTATAGAGCTATATGGGCTATGGGGTTATAGGGCTATAGGGATATAAAGCTATTAGGGCTATAGGGGTATAAGGCTATAGGGCTACAGGGCTATAGGGCTATACGGCTATAGGGCTATAGGGCTATAGGGTTAGTTATAGAGCTACTGGGCTATTGGGCTATTGGGCACCCCCGGGCACCTGGGCACCCCCGGGCACCCGGGCACCGGGGCCCGGGCACCGAAATCGGCGACGAACCTCCCAGCCACCCGGGCACCCGGGCACCGCTGGGCACCCGGGCACCCGGGCACCCGGGCCCGGCCACCGAAAACGGCGACGAACCTCACCTAACCCTTTAATCCGCTAGGACCCCTACAGAGGCAAGCTCTAATTGGGGAACATACCCACAGTTGAGGAAGTATCAGGCGGGAGCCTCGTCTATGAGTGAATTGTCAGGAAGTCTCAGGCGGGAACCCCCTCCCTACTGGGCCCGCAAATCATGTTGGTAGTCCGAGCGGGTCATTCTCGAACCTGTAAGTGTCGTGATTTTTGGGTTCCTGAGTCCTGAATATGGGGTAGGTATCAGGCGGGCACCTCGTCTGTGAGTGAATTACGACGAGGTCTCAGGCGGGAGCCCCCTCCCCTATGGGGTTCGCAGATCATGTTGGTAATCCGAGCGGGTCATCCTCGAACTTGTAACTGTCGTCATTTTTGGGTTCATGAGGCCTGAATTTGGGGGAAGTATCATGCGGGAGCTCCGTCTGTGAGTGAATCCCGACGAAGTCTCAGGCGGGAGCCCCCTCCCAATGGGGCCCGCAGATCATGTTATGAATCCGAGCGGGTCATCCAGATCCCGTAACTGTCGTCACTCTTGGGCTCCTGAGGCCTGAGTATGGGGGAAGTATCAGGCGGGAGCCTCGTCTTTGAGTGATTTGCAAGGACGTCTCAGGCGGGAGCCCCTTTGCGATGGGGCCCGCAGACCATATTATTAACCCGAGCGGGTCATCCAGAATTTTTAACAGTCGTCGGTTTTGGGTTTCTGAGGCCTGACTATGGGGGAAGTATCAGGCGGGAGCCTCGTCTGTGAGTGGACTGTGAGAAAGTCTCAGGCGGGAGCCCCCTCTCTATGGGGCCCGCAGATCATGTTATTAATCCGAGCGGGTCATTCTCGAACCTGTAAGTGATGTGATTTTGGGGCTCCTGAGTCCTGAGTATGGGGGAAGTATCAGACGGGAGCCTCGTCTGTGAGTGAATTGCGACGAGGTCTCAGGCGGGAGCCCCCTCCCCATGGGGTTCGCAGATTATATTAATAATCCGAGCGGGTCATCCTCGAACTTGTAATTGTCATCACTTTTGGGCTCTTGAGGCCTGTATATGGGGTAGGTATCAGGCGGGAGCCTCGTCTATGAGGGAATTGTGAAGAAGTCTTAGGCGGGAGCCCCCTCCTTATGAGGCCCGCACGTCATGTTGGCAATCCGAGCGGGTCATCCAGATCCCGTAACTGTCGTCATTTTTGGGCTCCTGAGGCCTGAGTACGGGGGAAGTATCAGGCGGGAGCTTCGTTTGTCAGTGAATTGCGAGGACGTCTCAGGCAGGAGCCTCCTCCCGCACTTCATGTTGGCAGTCCGAGCGGGTCATTCTCGAACCTGCAAGAGTCGTCATTTTTGCGTTCCTGGGGCCTGAATATGGGGGAAGCATCCGGCGGGAGCCTCGTTTGTGAGTGAATTGTGAGGAAGTCTCAGGCGGGACCCTTCCCGCATTTCACGTTGTAAATCTGAGGGGGTCATCCTCGAAGCTGTAACTGTCGTCACTGAGGCCTGAATTTGGAGGACGTATCAGGCGGGAGCCTCATCTGTGAGGGAATTGTGAGGAAGTCTCAGGCGGGACCCTTCTTCTCCCTATGGGGTCCGCATTTCACGTTGGTAATCCGAGCGGGTCATCCTCGAACCTGTAACTGTCGTCACGTTTGGGCTCCTGAGGCCTGACTAGGGGGGAGGTATCAGGCGGGAGCTTCGACTGTGAGTGAACTGTGAGGAAGGCTCATGCGGGAGCCCCCGTCCCTATGAGGCCCGCACCTCTCTGGGACGCACGTCGTGCGTTCCCTGTGGGTCGTGTTCCGCACGAGGAGGAAGAAGGAGGAGAAAGGAGGATGCAGGACGATAAAGAGAATCAGGATGATGATGATGATGATGATGATGATGATGATGAGGAGGAGGAGGGGAGGAGGAGGAGGAGGAGGAGGAGGAGGAGGAGAAGGAGGAAGCAGAGGGCGAAAAGGACGAGGAGGACATGGAGGAAGAGGGGTGCCCTAGGAGGCCCCAGGATGTCCCGGGAGGCGTAGAAGGCTCCAGGAGGCCCCAAGAGGCCCCAAGAGTCCCCAGGAGGAGTCAGGAAGCCTAAGGAGGAGGCAGGAGGAGGGGGAGGCGGAGGAGGAGGGGGGGGAAGATGGAGACGAGGAGGAGGAGGAGGCGGAGGAGGGAGAGGGAGAAGAGGAAGATGGAGAGGGGAGGCGGAGGAGGAGGAGGAGGAGGAGGAGGAGGAGGAGGAGGAGGAGGAAACGGAGGAGGAGGAGGAGGAGGAAACGGAGGAGGAGAAGGAGGAAGAGGAGGAGGGAGAAGGCAAGCAGCAGGAGGAGGAGGACGCAAGAGGCAGGAGGAGCATTGGGAATTGGGGGAGGCAGCATAACGAGGAGGAGGAAAAGGAGGAAGAGGAGGAGGTGGTGGTGGAGGAGGCAAGAGGAGGAGGAGGCAGGGGTTGAGGCAGGAGGAGGAGGAGGAGGAGGAGGAGGAGGAAGCAGGAGGAAAAGGAGGAGGCAGGAGTAGGTGGGAGAAGCGAGGGGGCAGGAGGAAATCCCCAGGCAAGCTAAACAAATTTTCATGCGAGGTCCTACCGTCGGAGTAACTTTTATATTTAATATTTGTTGTTGCTGTTATTATTCGTCGTATTATCAGTATCATTCAGCTTTTTAATGTTTATTATGTTGTTTAATGATTATGGTTATGATTAATAGTTTCCTCATCTTCCTCTTTTCGAGCGGGGCCGTACCCACCAGGGCGCCGCGTGGGTCTTTAAAAGTTCGGGTTTCGTTGGTCGCCTGTCTGGGTCCGCGGCCCGTCTCCTGGGGTTCAGGCTTTAGTTCGCATCGAATCCTAGTGATTCGAAGTTCTGCAAGGATGTGGCGAGTTGGAGACCAGAAACTCGCGGCAGTTGTAACAAGGGCGCTTTCACGGCGTGCGGATTCACCATGTTCACTCACAGGTGTCTGACTGTCTGTCTATCCGTCCGTCCGTCCGTCCGTCTGTCTGTCTGTCTATCTGTCTTGTCTTGTCTGTCTGTCTGTCTGTCTGTCTGTCTGTCTGTCTGTCTGTCTGTCTGTCTGTCTGTCGGTCTTTCCGTCTGTCCGTCTGTCCGTCTGTCCGTCTGTCCGTCTGTCTGTCTGTCCGTCTGTCTGTCTGTCTGTCTGTCTGTCTGTCTGTCCTCCTCCTCTTTCTCCTCTTTCTCCTCCTCCTCCTCCTCCTCCCCCTCCTCCTCCGCTTCCTCCTCCTCCCCCTCCTCCTCCTCCCTCCTCCTCCCCCTCCACCTGCGTTCCCTCGTCGTCCTCAGTCTCCCCCCATGAACGCGCAGGTACGTGGGGCTGCGGCAGAAGCACCGTGACTGGTCCGCGGCGCAGGCGGCGGCGCGGGCCATGCGCGGCGAGGCCGGCCCGCGCCTGGAGGGCTACGGCCTCGACCTGCGGTTGGCCGCGCGCGCCACCGCCGAAGACCTCGCCGAGGCCGCGGCTTGGCGCCGCCCTGCTCCGGAGGAGGGGGTTGAGGAGGGGAGAGCGGGGAGGAGGGAGGAGGAGGAGGAGGAGGAGGAGGAGGAGGAGGAGGAGGAGGAGGAGGAGGGCGGGGAGAAGGAGGAAGAGGAGGAGGAGGAGGAGGAGGAAGAAGAGGAGGAGGAGGAGGGCGGGGAGGAGGAGGAGGAGGAGGAGAAGGAGGAGAAAGAGGAGGAGGAGGAGAGGATGTTGTCCTCCTCCTTCTCCCATTCCTCTTCCTCCTCCTCCCCCGGTTGTTCCCTCTCCTGTTCCTCCTCCGGCCCATGCTGCTATCTCTACTCCTCCTCCTCCTCAACCTCCCCCCTTCCCCTCCGCCCCCCTCCTCCGTCATCGGACTCTTGTGGAGCTCCGTTGCCGCCGCCTCCTCCCCCCTCTTTTCTGAAAAAAAGGGGGGGGGATGGGGGGGGAGAAGGAGGAGGACAGGACGTCCGAGCCTGTCTGGAGGGGAGGTTGGGAGGTCTCTCGCGCCGGGTGCAAGGGGTGGCCATGGGGAAGCGGGGGGTTCGACATCTGCTGCGCGCGGCTGGTTTGGGCGCCCCGCCGCTGGTCGTTCCTCGGCGCATTGCACCTGGACGTTTCCAGCTGTACGTGAGCTCGTCCGCCAACCCTCATCTATTCTTCACGCTTCGCGTTTCCCCACCAGTACGTACGCTTGGTGTGCGTCCGTGGTTTCGCGGCCACCCCCCGTATTTCAAGCCCCCGCTCTTCGGCAAGGTACTTCGACCTCTTCGTCGCCTGAGCGTGATCCCCTGCGCGCCCGCCGTTTCTTCCGTGTCTCCTTCGTCCCCCGTTCGCCTTCTTCCTCTGTTTCTTCGTTCGCCCTCGCCCCTGCCGCGTTGCCGCTGCGCATCGCCGGGTAGTTTTCGCCACCATCGTGGCCTTCTTTTCCCGCGCTTCGCTGGCGACAGTTGCGCTGTACGCCTTGGCCCTGTACTGGTCGACCCTTTGACGGTGCGCAGCTGCTTCTGCGTCGCGCGCAATCAAAAAAGTACCCCCGCCAGCCCATTCAGAAACCGTGCCCGTAAGAGCTGACGGGTAAAGGGACGAAAAGACACATCGAGGGAAACACAGCGAGCAACCAGGGTGAAGCGAGAGATCTCTGGGAGCAAGGGGATGGCCTTGGAAGGCCTCTTCGGGCCATCCCTGGGGGCCGCGTGGGGGCGAGGGGGAGAGGAGGGGGAGGAGGAGGAGGAGGAGGAGGAGGAGGAGGAGGAGGAGGAGGAGGAGGAGGAGCAGGAGCAGGAGCAGGAGGAGGATGAGGACGAGGAGGAATAGTAGGACGAGGACGCGGATGAGGACGAGGAGGACGAGGACGTGGCCGCTGCTGCTGCCGGTGCTCTCTGAAGGTTCGGGAGGCCCTCTGGGAACCCTCTTGGTACCCCTGGAAGGCTTCTTGTGATCATCTTGGAGGCCATCGATTACAGGATGGGGGGGTCCCCAATCCAGCTCCCCCCTCAGGAGCCGGCAACCCGCTTCTTTGGGCTCTCTTGGAGCGCTCTCGGGCGTTCTTGGAGCATCTTGGCGCATCTTGGGAGCCATCTTGAGCCAGCTTGGGCTACCTGAGCCATCTTGGAGGTAATCTTAGACTCTGAGGCCGCTCGGGGGCCACTTGGAGGCCTCTCGGGTGCTTCTCGGGGCCCTTTTGGGACCCTCTTGTAGACCATTTGGAGCTCTCTTAGAGCTCTCGTGGGAGCCCTGGAACGCTTCTTGGGGCCATCTCCGAGGCTATCGATCAAAGGAGGGAAGCTCCCGATCGAGCCCCCACCCCCCCTCGGGGGCCACGATCCTCGTGAAGGGTGCCAGAATTTGGCCCTCCCAGGGGCCGAGCAAGGGCCCCTCAACGACCCGCGAAACCCCGCCAAAAAGTCCAGGGGAGGGTGTAAGGGGAGGGGTCAAGACTCCCTCCCCGCCCGCAAGCCGTCCCCGCCACTCCCACCCGCCCTCCGAACACGTACGTAGCACCCGAGCCTGGCCCGAGCCGCAGCATATTCAGCAGTCGTGCTTGGATGGGCAGCTACTGGGGGCGAATCCGCCGCCGCCGCCGCCTCCGCCGCCGCCGCCCGCCGCCGCCGCCGCCGCGCCGCCGCCGCCGCCGCCGCTGTCCGCCGCCGCCGCCGCCGCGCCGCCCGCAGCCGCTGCCGCCGCCGCCGCCGCCGCGCCTGCCGAAAAACCGCCGCCGCAGCCGCTGCCCGCCGCCGCTGCCGCCGCCGCTGCCGCCGTCTCACCGCCGCCGCCGCCACCGCCGCCGCCGCCGCCGCCGCCCCCGCCGCCGCCGCCACCGCCGCTGCCGCCGCAGCCGGTGCCCCCGCCGCAGCCGGCGCAGCCGCCGCCGCCGCCAAGTGAATGTTGTATTGTTTTTTGACAGGGATGGTGGGGGGAGGCCGCATCGGGTTCGCTGCGCATGCTCCGAATTTGGAGGCAGAGTGTGTGTTGCATTGTTTTTTACATTGGTGGTGGGGGGGGCGCACTAATAGGGAACAGTGATCAGCCCCTCCTTGAAGGGGAAGAAGGGTTTTTGGAAGAGGAAAGGGTGAATATCGTTAGACCACCTACGCCCAGAGGGCTGGTGGGACTTCGACGAGGAACAATTTTGGCAGCGCGCACAGCCCACACCTCCTCGCTTCGTGACAAGGTCACTGTGTATAGATGTGGATAGTTGTTGTGTCATTTTGGAGGTAATTTTGGATTGTCTGAGGCCGCTCGGGGGCATCTTGGGGGCCTCTCGGGGCCTTCTTTGGGCCCTCTTGGAGACCATTTGGGGCTCTCTTGAGGATCTCTTGGGGGCCCTGCAGCGCCTCTTGGGGCCATCTTCGAGGCGATCGATCAAAGGATGGAAGCTCCCGGTCGAGCCCCCCGCCTCGGGGGCCACGATCCTCGTGAAGGGTGCCAAAAGTTGGCCCTCCCAGGGGCCGAAAAAAAGGGGCCCCCACGACCCGCGAAGCCCCGCCAAAAAAGTCCAGGGGATGGGGTCGGGGGAGGGACTAACCCTTCCCAAAAGGGGAAGAAGGGTTTTTGGACGAGGAAGGGAGGAAGATCGTTAGACCACCTGCACCCAGAGGGCGGGTGGGACGTTGACGAGAAACAGCTTTGGGCAGCTCTCGCGACCCAGCCCTCTTCGAGTCGGGAGGAGGTCTCGGTGGCTAGTTTTTGCGCCATGTTCGGTCTCCTGGCGGCCCTTGCCGGACCCCAGGGACGTCACAAAGCACGGCTCGGGACGAGAAGCCGGCCTTGAGGATGCCTTCTGTGCGTGTCTTTGCCTCCGTGGATCTCAACGTCGCGAGGCACCACGGCGCCAGAGGTCTGGGGAAGGGGGGCGGGGGGCACGGGGAGCGGGGAGCGGTGTCCTCAGAAGCACGCGCCGCGCCGCCAAGAGCACGAGCGTCCGCGGTGCGGTCGCTGCGGCTGCCCTCCGCAGTCGGCGGCGCTCGGTCGGGTTTGGTTCGGTCGGCTCCCTTCGCCGCTGTTCGTCCTCCTGGGCGCGGCGGTCGCTCCGTCCCCAGACATCCGGCGCTCGGATCCTTCAAATGCGATGTTGTCCCGACCCGTCTCCCGGGGTCGTTTTTGTCATCCCTAGTAGTTCTTTGACCGCCCCGAGGCCTGGCGGGGGCCCCCAGATGCCGAAAACTTGCAAGCATCTCCACGTCGCGAGCAATGGGTGGGTCGGGCCCCGTCGGCCTCGGTCTCGCCGTCGGTGTCGGTCGGTGTTCGACCTTGGTGTCGCTATGCGGCGTCCCTTGGCCCTCCCGGGGGGTCTCCTGCGGGCGCCCCCCCTCGCTACCGCCCCGAAGCCTTGACGAGAGGTCCGGGGACCAGCGGTATCAGTATCCCCGGACACGTCCGCATTGTGAACAAATAGCCACGGAAGGTGTTTGGCCGTGTTCGGTTCCAGGGGTCCTCGCCGAGCCCCAGGCCCGTCCAAAGACGGCTCGGGATGAAAACCTAGCCTCGGGAAGAGGGTCAGGATTTCGGGGGCCCTTTGATTGATTTCTCCTCCCTCCCCCCCCCTCCCTCCTCCCTCCTCTTACTGCCTCTGATCCCTCCTCCTCCCTCCCGTTTCCTCCTTTTATTGGTTTTCCCCTTTTCCACTATGCCTCCCTCCCCCTCCCTGTTCCCCCCTTCTGTTGCGTTTCCTCCTCATCCTCCATGCATCGCCCCCCTGCTCCTTACGATTCCCTACTCTTCCCTTCCTCCCTCCCTTCCCTCCGTCGGTGGAGGAGAGCGAAGAGGGAGGACGGAGGACGGAGGAGGACAGAGTAACGGGGAAGTGCGAGAGAGTGCTCGAGAGAGAGAGGGAAACAAGAGAGAGAGGTACATATATATATATATAGAGAGAGAGAGAGAGAGAGAGAACAAACAAAAGACACGGGAGAGAAAGAGAGAGAGAGGGAACTACGATAAATATACATATATATATAGAGAGAGAGAGAGAGCGAACGAGAGAGAGAGAGAGATAACCAGATCTAGTGTTTTTCCTGCAACATGGGAAAAAACCAAAAGAGGTTAATGCAAGGTCTGTGCCACTGCGCCACATCTGATGCCCTTTCCCATTTCGTATATCTCCCCGCTACATTAAATATGTGTCTCTTCGTCGAGCTTGATCTCGACAAAGACCAGAGAGCGCGCAGGGACGATAGGGGGGACGTTTGAATGGAGCATGACGACGCCCATTAACGACAACGCCATGGGTGCGAGGACGACGACGAAGAACGGGCAGAGAAGCAAAAGGATGGGGCAGCAGGATGAGGGATGACTATAATTATCATCATGATGCTGCTGATGGCGACGGTGATTGTGATGATGACGATGATAATGCTGATGATGCTGATGATGAGGGTGATCATGATCATGATCATGATCATGATCATGATTATTCTGATGATGATAGCTACGATGGTGATCACAATGGTGATGGTGATGATGATGATGATGATGATGATGTTGATGATGATGATGATTATGATCCTGCTGATCCTTGTGATCATCATGGTGATGATAATGACGATGCTGATGCTGGTGGTGATGAGGATGTCGATGATGATGGTGGTGATGATGATGGTGATGGTACTGGTGATGGTGATGGTGTTGGTGATGACGAACACGATAGTGTTGATGACGATGCTGACGACGATGGCGATGTCGATCACTATTCAGATGACAATGATACTGATGATGACGATGCCGACAACGGCGACGATATTGATGATGAGGATGATGGTGATGATGATTATGATGAAAATGATGATGACGAGGACGACGACAAGGATGATGATAATGATGCTGGTGCTGATGATGAATCTGCTGATGATGATGATGACGATGATGACGATGATGATGCTGATGACTATGATGATGATAATGATGATGATGATGATGACGACGATGACGATGATGATGATGATGATGATGATGATGATGTTGATGTTGATGATGATGATGATGATGATGATGATGATGATGATGATGATGCTGATGATGATGGCGATGGCGATGACGATGACGATGACGATGTCGATAACGATGACGATGACGATGATCATGAGGAGGAGTCTGATGACAAGTGCGATTATGACGATGAGATGGAGGTGGCAGGAGGAGGGACGATAAGGAGGAGCAGGAGGAGAAGGAGGGGCGAAGCTGCAATAGGGATGAAGACGAGGAGGAGGAGAAGGAGGAGGAGGAGGCGGAGGAGGAGGAGTAGGAGGAGGAGGGCGGGGAGGAGGAGGAGTAGGAGGAGGAGGAGGTGGAGAAGTAGTAGGAGGAGCAGGAGGAGGAGAACGAGGAGGAAGAGGAGGAGCAGGAGGACGAGGAGGAGGAGCAGGAGGAGGAGGAGGAGGAGGAGGAGGAGGAGGAGGAGGAGGAGGAGGAGGAGGAGGAGGAGAGAGGATGAGGCAAAAGGATTGAGGAAGAGGAAGGAGGAGGAGCAGGAGGAGGCGAAGGAGGAGGAGGAGGAGGAGGACCAGGAGAGGGAGGATGAGGAGGTAGCCGGAGCAGGGATGGGGTGGCAAAGGCGAAGGCGAAGGAGGAGGCTGAGGAGAGGAGGACCTCGCCGAGGCCGAGCAGGTGTGCGGTGTCGCGCGGGCTTCCCTCCTCGACTTGGCGTTGCCGCGGCTGGCGCAGGACCTGCTCCTCCTCCCTGCCGTCCCGCCAGACGTGTCGGTTGGGTGGCCGGGGGTGTTTCGCCTGAGACTTCATCACCGCTTTGCGTTGCTGAGGCTTGGGATTTGCAGCATTTCCAGTACGGAGCATGTGTCGCTTTCAAAATGTGGCCTCGGCCCTACTGCCACGCACCCACGCACTTGACATTTGCATAGGTCGCAGCAGTATGTATGACACAACCGGCGAGCGGGTCCCCGGGCCCCGCCGCCCCCCCCCCCCCCCCTCGCACCAGACTTTCGCCCCTGGGGCCTGTGAGCCGTCCGAAGAGGAGGAGGAGGAGGATGAGGAGAAGGAGGAGGAGGAGAAGGAGGAGGAGGGTTAAACAGATGCCCATCTTGTCCTTCCGGGACGACCCTCGCCGGAGTTTTCTTCGTCTCCGCCTCGAGGTTGCTCCCCTAACGCCTTTCACACTGTCTGGCGAGGCTCGCATGAAGGAGTAGGAGGAAGAGGGGAGAGAAACGAGGAGGAGGCGACCTACGAGTTAGTGCTGTGTGCGCTCTTTCTCCTCACTCCACGTTACTCCCTCCTTCCTCCTCCAAGTGGGTAGACGGAGTGGGCGAGAGAGAGAGAGGGGGAGGGCAGGAGGGACGCACGGGAAAGGAGAGAAGAGCGAAGAGGGAGGGACAGCGGGTGGAAGGGAAAAGCCGGAGGCAGGAAGACGTAGAGAGGAGAGCAGTGGGCGCCCAGAGGGTATCAAAACGGATCCGTCTGGCCTCAGGGGGTCCTCCTTCTACTCCTCGTCCTGCTCCTCCTCCTGCTCCTCCTCCTCCTCTTCCTCCTCCTCCTGAAGACGATTTCGGGGGGATGGACCACCACGGACCGAACGCACGTTAGAGACACTTTATGGAGCTGTGTTTTCGGGTGTTCCCACACCGATTTCATAGCGCACTATTCAAAGTGCCCCCGTCTCACCCTGTTCGTTTGTCGTCCTCGAACAGTCGTCTCGCCGTGCCCTCTCCTCCGTCTAGGGCTTGGGCTCCGTGTGCAATATCCCGCGTTTGACCTCACCTGGGAAAATGCAATTCTAGCAACAGCTCTCAGTTTCTAGATTTACCACGTTGCTAAGGACATCGCCTCGCATCAACACGAGCGCCCTTTAACTCTACCGCAGCAGCTAGATGACCTCAAAGCGGCATTAGCCAAAATGCCGAACGATTACTCGATTTTACCCCCTCCGCCCAACGCGGCTAGGCCATACAGTTGGCTCAGGCCGAGGCGTCGAGATTGAGTCGTTGACAACTCTGCGGAAGGCACTGGCGCTTCTCCTCCTCCTCCTCCTCCTCCTCCTCCTCCTCCTCCTCGTCCTCCTCCTCCTCCTCCGCCCCAGGAGGCCCCAGGCGGCGCACGGACGGGCTCCAAGAGACGCCCCGAGAGCCCCTGGATTGCCACGGGCTGGCTAGAAGAGACCCCAAGGACCGTGCGATCGGGCCCAACTGGGCTACCTTCATTGCGCTGCTCGAGGCCGCGCTGATGAGGTCCCTGGACACGTTCTGCCCTGCGGGGTGCACGTGAAGGTCTGGCCGCGGCCTTACTGCACGCGTCGACCACGCACGCACGACGCTCGGTAGCGACGACGACGTTCTCCGAGGTGCCGTGCCGGAGGTGGCAGCTGCATCCCTGGCCGGAGGCAAAGGCCACCGCTGCGTCGCAGCGTGGTTCACGGACGTCTCAGGGCCGCCTGGGGCACGCCAAGCCTGACCGCCCGGTAACCTTCGGACTCAACGAAGGTCAGCAGAGCGACCCCGAGAGCACGGAGCTACAAGGCACCCTCGGCGCTACAAGGCGCCAGGCGCCGGCACTATTGACCAGGAGGTCGCGAGCCTCGCGGAGGCCGCCCAGAGCGCTGCGCGCAGAGGGCTGGGCCCCGCCGGGGACGGCCCCCGGAAGCAGGGGATCCAGCCGACCACGTGGGCAGGCATCAAGAGGCGCAGACCCTGATCCGTCGGCTCGGTGTGGCGGCAGCCTGCCGTCGCAGTGGGCTTCGTATGGCGCGGGCGTGGACGGCCCGGAAGGCCTTCTGCCCGCGCGTGTGCGCCCTGGGCGCCGCGACCCCCAGCATGGGGTGGGCTGCCCTGGCGCGCGCTGGTGAGCTCCGGCGTCAGACGCTGGGGTGCCCTGGCGCGCGCGCAATGAGCAAAGATGACTCACGGGGAATCGTTTTCTCGGGCCGGACGAAAGGGGGGGATTGGGAAACGGGGGGGTTACGAAATTTGCTGCGTGCAGCTGGTTTCGGCCTCACGGAGGGGCCCATTCCTCGATACATAGCCGCCTCCGGCGCCAGGAGGCGCCGGGAGAATCAGCTACGTGAGCTGATTCTCACCCCCCCCTTTGCTATCCCCCCCTTTCGCCGGACCCGATTTTCGAACATCATATCGCGCAGGGGTTGAAGCGATTTTTCCATGGACGTCACGCCCCACTAAAATGCCAACCAGTCGGAGGCCCAGCATGGGGTCGTCGGAAGCCGGAGCGTCGAGTTCGCCACGCACCTCGTGCGCCAGGCGTTACAGTATGCGGAGCTGGCCCAGCTTACCATACTCTCTCTCCCCATGGATCTGGTCAAAGCGTTTGACCGCAGAGTGCGCGAGGTCGCGCTGGGATGGCCGGGTGATGCGCAGGATGCGCAGGAATGCTTGCGCAGCCTTGGCTTCGATGATGACCAAGCCGATTGGATTGTACACGAATGCCTGTTCGAGCAGTGGGGCACCCCGCTCAGAGTGTTTGCGCGACACTATGCGCGCGCAGTCATGGCTAAGCTCACGAGGCCATTTCCACCCGGGTCGGGGGGAGGCTAGGATACAAATATGGTTCGTGCTTGTTTAATTCTGCCTTGCGCATGGCACTCTCTGCCTTTTGCATGGCATGTTGTATGATTTTTGACTTCCTGGCCGCGGCCAGGGTCGCTCTAACCCTATCTAGTGACCGTTTTGCACCTTGGGCCCCTCCCCAGCAGGCGGCTGCCAGCAGCGCACCTTCGACGCGGCTGTCGTGGATGACGCCTTGCTCGTCCTGATGGCGCCGTCCCCTGGGACTCTCGATGGTGCCATGGGTAACCTCCTGCAGACAATGCAGGCCCTTCTCCTCTACAAGCAAAGCTCGCGATCTTGTTTCACGTCGGCAGAGCGGAAGCCTTCCCGAAGTGCAGGGGCAATCTTTGGGCAGCGGCACGGACGCGCGCGCGCCCCGCGATGGCCGCGCCCGGCGGGCGTGTGGCACCCGTGCGCCTGGCTCTGCTGCCTTGCTGCGCGCGGCCCCCACCTGCAAGCAGTTGGGGGTGGGGGGATTTCCGCGTCGGAGCTCGTGGCCGTCGGCCATGGCCGGGCCACGAGATCCCCACCTCCTCCGCCGGGGGGCCCCCTCCTCCTCCTCCTCCTCCTCCTCCTCCTCCTTCTCCTCTCCTTTCTCCTCCTCGTCCTCGTCCTCCTACTTGCAGTTCCTGCTCCTTCTCGCCCATGGCCGGGTATGCCCGCATGCGTGCACTGGTTGTGTATGCACCGTTCGCCATGCAGGCGTTTGGATTCTCCCAGCCATCCCTCGACCCGAGGGGCTGGATGTTCTCGGCGTGCAGCCTGCCGCGTGGCCATTCTTGCAGATGTTGAATGATGTGTGCCTCCGAGGCCACCGTCGCATGCATGATGCGGTCAGGGCTGGCCCAGGATCCGAAAGTGGTCTGGATTTCTGTTCTCGGACCCGCACTCCGTCGAATGACTGTCTCCTATCCAGGGCCGAGCTCACGCACCTTGGCCATCTGCTTCGATCGAGACCCCCCCGCATTCGCGGCCCTCCTGAGGCAGCGCCTCCGCGGTCTGAGATGGCGCTGGTTGGATTTACTTGTCGGTGACCTTCGCCGCATGCGCCAGCTTGTGGCTAGGTCCTCAGGCCTGCCGAAGCCAGGCGGCGATCTTGAAGTCTGGACACGTTTTGTAATGTAAGATCCACGCCGTTTTGCATCTGCCTGGTTGATTTAGAGAAGGCCTTCGACACAGTCGAACACGAGAGTCTGTGGGAAACGCTGGCAGACCACAACGTGGGACATGAATATATCAACATGCTCAAACGACTGTATGCCAAACAGTCGGCCTGCGTCACGGCAGGCGCCAAAAACATAATGTTTGACATCCTCCGCGGTGTTAAGCAAGGCGGTCCTATTAGTTATTTCTTGTTTGTCGTCGCCATGGAGACAGTTTTCCAGAAGCTGAAGGCGCGTTGGGCTAGCCTACGCCACAAGCGTCTTGGATCGTTTTACGGCATGGTCACTGACAGCCCAGGCGACCCCCTCACGAATCTCAGTGTTGCTGATGATGTGTTGCTGGTGGCATCCTCTGCCAGAGACTCGTCAAGAATGCTTATTGATCTGGAGAAGGAAGCGCGCAGATACGGTCTCAGAGTGCATATTGGCACAACAGTAATACTGACGAACGTCGACAGCAGACCGGCCACTCTGCGGCGCGGGGGCAATAGTGTGCGAGTGTTTCAACGCAGTCAGTCTGAGAAATACTTGGGGCGCCAGTTTGCTTTGGATCTTATCATGAGACGGAGTTGCAGTACAGGATTGGGTGTGGTTGGGCAGCACTCGCAAAGCACAAGTTCACGTTCTGCAACCGGCGTATCAAGTTGCAGCACCGCATGCGGCTGCCCCGAGCAATCATTGCACCGTGGGTGATGTATGGCTCTGGCGCATGGACGCTCGCATCGGAACAGCAACGACAACTGCGGAGTGCGCAACGACGGATGCTCATAATGATTATTGGTGCACGGCGGCTCCCTGACGAAGATTGGGTGGATTTTATGAATCGTTCTACTTCTGCAGCGTTGGACCTTGCTCATACATGCGGCGTTCGTGATTGCGTTCATGGTTTTCAAGATACCAAGAGGCGTCTCCACGATAAGATGCAATCGGCCTCCGGCGGACGGAGGGGGACGAGGCTACTGGACTGGCACCCATGGCACCACGTACATGCCCGGCGACACGTTGGAAGGCACCGTAAACGTTGGCAAGACACTTGAGAGCACAAGTGAGGGTTGCGCGCGGCCCGGCGTCATGCTGGGGCAGACTCTTCTGCCCTACGGGCCCTCTCTCTCTCTGACTGACTCTGCGTGCGACGTGTGCGACAGCCAAGGCCACGAGGACAGCCGTCGGCCACTGCTTGAGCTGAGTGCGGGGTTGCCTTTGCAACATCAAAGCAGTACACCCAGCATCGGCGATTTAAGCACGGGGGGCGCTGCCCACAGCGCTTCCATGCCACCGCGAGCGGGGCGTGCCCCGCCTGAGAAGCCACCTTTTCGGCACGCGCCTTGCCCTCCTGAGCCACCTGTGCGGCGGCAGACGGAGCGCGCGTTGGCAGAGAATCGTCAACCCTCTTAGGAAGTACACGAAAATGCTTTTTGAGGAGGTCGCCAATCTTGATGCCCGAGATCGCGAGGCCCGCGCGGCGGGCAAACGGCTCGGCCACTCGCACGCGTTCGCCACAGGCGGCTCCGCGCGCAAGGACGGCATCCCTGTGGGCCGACCGACGACTCGACGGTCTAGGCCGGGCGTCGGTGTGATATTTGTCGTTGCCCTTGCTTCTCGAGGCGCCACGCGCAACCCTCGCACAACAAGAAAAATGCTGGCCCCTCCCCATCAGCCATCGAAAGTGGCGACATTATCACACTTCGCATCCCCCCAGGATGACGAGGTCTAATCTGAATCCGCGCGGATACCCATCACGCTGGCCCCACCCAGCAGCCTTCGAAAGTGGCGACGGCTTCGCACGTTGCAGCTCATCAGGGACGGCGAGGTCTAATCGGAATCCGCGGCGGGCGCCCATGATGTTGCCCCCCCCCCCCCCCAGCAACCCTCGAAAGTGGTGACAGTTTCGCACTTCGCAGCCCCCCAGGGACGGCGAGGTCTAATCTGAATCCGCGCGGGTACCCACTACGCCCCCCCCCCCCCCCCCAAGCAGCTGTCGAAAGTTGCGAACATTTCGCACTTCGCAACCCCTCAGCGAGCCCACAGACGGGACGGCGATGCAGGAGGCACGAGGTAAGGGAGGGGGAGGAGGAGGAGGAGGAGGGAGGAGGAGGAGGAGGAGGAGGAGGAGGAGGAGGAGGAGGAGGAGGAGGGAGGCGGCGGGAGGACGCGACCACAGCGCCCGATGAAAAAAAAAAGAACCCAACACAGGAGGTTTGGGAAACAACCGTCGGTTCTCGAGCCTCCCTCGTTCTTTCGCCGTTTCCCCGGGACCAGCTCTGCACCCCGAGTCGTTCTCGACGGTCCTGGCGCCCGTGGACCGTGGAGGGTGCCAGGGGCGGAAAACTAAGACAGGCGTTTTTCCAAGACCCGTCTCTTTGATGTTGGCTCCTCTTTCCCTTCGGGGGCGTCCAATAGGGGGTGGTGCCTAGGGAGGTGAAGATATTATGGTCAGGGCCATCATACCTCCGAGAATTTCTTGGCTCCCTTTTTTTCTTGTATTTAGCATGTGCCCTGCCCCCGCCCCCCTCGTCAGCGCACACGCCGTGGCCCATGATTTGCGGTTCGGCCTCTTACACGCCCCAATCTTAGACGCCTTCGGTTCTTTTCACAGGATCAGCCCTTGCTGCGTCAGCTGAGCGACACCCACACGCTGCTGCCGGAGCAGCAGTGGGAGGGGCTGCGCCGAGCGATTGCCTCCCAGGTCCGCGGGCAGGGGGAGGGGGATGGAAGGACAGAGATGAAAAGGGGAGAGAGGCGGGGGGAGGTGCGTATGTGTGTGTGTGCGTGTGTCTGTATGTGGGCGTGCGTGCGTGCGTGCGTGCGTGCGCTTGCGTGCGTGAATGCGTGCGTGCGTGCGTGCGTGCGTGCGTGCGTGTGTGTGTGTGTGTATGTGTGTGCGTGTGTGTGTGTGTGGTGTGTGTGGGTGTGGGGATGAATGGGTGTGTGGGTGTGCGGGTGTGCTTGCGCGTGTGCGTGTGCGTGTGCGTGTGCGCGTGCGCGTGCGTGTGCGTGTGCGTGTGCGTGTGCGTGTGCGTTTTTTTTTTGTGTGTGTGTGTGTGCGTGTGTGTGTGTGTTGATGTGTGTGAACGTGTGTGTGTGTGTGCGTGTGTCTGTGTGTGTGCTTGTGTGTGTGTGCGTGTGTGTATGTGTGTGCGTGTGTGCGTGTGCGTGTGTGCGTGCGTGCGTGTGTGCGTGTGTGCGTGTGTGCGCGTGTGCGCGTGTGTGCGTGTTTGCGTGTGTGTGTGTGTGTGCGCGTGTGTGCGTGTGCGTGTGCGTGCGCCTCGTGTGCGCGTGTGTGCGCGTGTGTGGGTGTGTGTGCGTGTGTGCGTGTGTGCGTGTGTGCGTATGTGCGTGTGCGTGTGCGCGTGTGCGTGTGCGTGTGCGCGCGCGCGCGTGTGTGTGTGTGCGTGTCGAATCGGAAGCCGATGCTCCATGTGGGCCTTGCAGTCGGGGCCTTCGGTGGAAGCGCCTTGTGGGGCCACGAAGCGTGTTAGGGGTGCGCCGACTCCGGCGCGGGTAGGCCACGAATCGTGTCAGGGGTGTGCCGATCGGTCGCGGGCACGCCATGCGAACCGTGCCCTTGTGGCCATCGCTGGAGCTCCATACGGAGCCACGAAATGTCGGAGGGGTGCGGCGAGTCGGGTGCGGGTACGCCATGTGGACCTGCCGCTGGGGCCCTCCTAGGGGGGCACGAAGCGTGTGATGGGGTGTACCGACATGGGCGCGGGGCCGCCATGCGGACCTTGCCGCTGGGGCCTTTGGTGTAGTTCCCTATGGGGCTACGAAGCGTGACTGGTGTGCCGGAAGGGGCTGGGAGGGCGCATGGGACTACGCTGAGGGGTGTGCCGAACTGGCTGACATGCGGAGGGAAAAGACAGGGATTGGGGGAGGGAGGAGGGGCAGGGAGGACTCAACACAGGATGGTTGGGAACAAATAGTCCGGGCGAGTGGCCCATACATATTCGTGTGCGTGTGCTGGAGGGACAAAGGAGGGACAGGTGGGACCAAGGAGGGACCTGTCCCCATGGGGCCACGAAGCGTGTGAGGGGTGTGTCGACATGGGCGCGGGGACGTTGTGCGGACCCTGCCGCTGGGGCCTTCGGTGGAGCTCCGTCTGTGGCCACGAAGCGTGCGCGAGGTGTGCCGACATGTGTGCGGGGCAGCCCTGCGGACGCTGCCGCTTGGGCCTTCGGTGGAGATCTTTTGGGGCGGCGAAACATGGGAAGGAATGCGCCGAGCCGGGTGCGGGTACGCCGTGCGGATTTGCCGTTGGGGCACGTGTCGGTGGAGTTCCCTGTGGGGCCACGAGACGTTCGAGGGGTTTGCCGACATGTGTGCGTGGCAGCCCTGCGGAGCTTGCCGCTGGGGCCCAGTAGCGGTGCATGGCCGTCGTGCGGAGCCTGCCGCGGGGGCAGTCGGTCGGGCCCCCTTATGGGGCGACGAAGCGCGTGAGAGGTGCGCCGACGTCGGCACGGGGCCCGCTTGCGGACCCTACCGCTGGGGCCTTCGGTACAGCTCCCTACGATGCAGGAATGGGAGGTGGAGGGGGAGGATAGGGGAACAAAAAGTGGCATAAACATAAAAACTCGGAGGTCCGCGCGGATTTCTCGGATCGGCGCTGGACCCCCCTCCCTGGCGCGCGGAGCGCGCCAGGGGGCCCCAGCGCCGATCCGAGGAATCCGCGCGGACCTCCGAGTTTTTATGTTTGTGTAATTTTTTGTTCCCCTAGAGGAGGAGGACGGAGGACCTGGGGCACTGTCTTTTCAGAGCGAGGGCCCAGCACCGCAAGATGGCTGGGAACAAGCAGACGTGTGCCTCGGCATCGCTCGGACGTGTGCATTTTTTCTCGGCGAGGACCATCGAGGAGCATCCTTGATCATTTGGCGAAAAAACCACGCACGAAACCGAAAAATACACGAGGAATGGACGTCCGAGCGATGGCGAGGTGTGCCTCTTGGGGCCCTCTTGGGATGGCTCCCGGGGCTCTTCTGGGGCGCCTCGAAGGCTTCGCGTGCCGTGTTGAAGCCGTCTTGGAGGCCAACGTGGCCCGTCCTGGAGCGAGATTTTGGGCCGTCCTGGAGGCACCTGGGCCTCGGGAGCGCGAGTCTGCAGCATTGAGCCCCTCCTCCTCCTCCTCCTCCTCCTCCTCCTCCTCCTCCTCCTCCTCCTCCCCTTCCTCCCCCTCCTCCTCCCTCCTCCCTGGAAGGGGGCGGCCTCGGGAAGAGGGAGTGGTGCATGCCCCGGGGCGCGACCGGAGAGTGGTGGTGGCCATTTTCTAGAAAATGGCAGAGACCGTGCCAGACAGCACCTGGTATTTCAGCACGCCCCCAGGGTGCCAGGGAGCACGGCGGCGGATAGCACGTTGATGGAGGCCGCCCTCTATGTGCGCACCATCCGTCTTGCATGACAGTACGCTTCTCGTTTCAAGCAGTGGGGAATTCTCAAGCGAGGTCCCTGTCCTGAAGAGGAGCCGCCGTCCATTCACGCGGTGGGAGTGGGACGCCTATACGCAGACGGGCGCGCGTGCCGAGCAGGCGCTCTCCGTCCACATGGCCGCTGGAGGCTCTCAGTGCGAGTGTGCGCGGCGCAGAGGCCGCAGCTGCGTTTAGGATATTCCAACCTACCAAAGCCTTGACCAACAGACAGGATTTCGAGCGCACCCCAAAACTCGAGGGTTTTCACGTGTCGGGCCCTGGGAGACGCTGCTTCGACACTCTTTCGACACTCTTTCGACACTTTTCTGGGAGCTCGAAATCATTTCTGGGATGTGGTCCTTGATTACGATGGGAGCAACATAAAGCTACATCTCGAAATTGGGCTGCCCTCCATCCCCGAAGGCGGGTTGGGCCGAACTCGACGGGGAGCCTGATGCCTGGGCCCAAGAAGACGCATTGAGCCCGACACGCCAAGTACCTTGGCGGCAAGCACAGTAGGCAGCAGAACGAAGGCGAATCACCGCCGCCCCCTGCCCCTTTGAACACACTGGTGTGGCCAACCGTCGGGCCAGAGCCTGGCCAAGCTACAGATTGAAGTACGGTTATCCCGAGCCGTTGTGGAAGCCCTTGGGGGAGAGGAGGCGGAAACGGAGGATGAGGAGGAGGAGGATGAGGAGGAGGAGGAGGAGATGGAGGTGGAGGAGATGGAGGAGGAGGCGGAGGAGGAGGAGGAGGAGGAGGAGGAGATGGAGGTGGAGGAGGAGGAGGAGGAGGAGATGGAGGATGAGGAGGAGGAGAGGAGGAAAAAGTCTCCTGGTGCCTCCTGGAGGCCTCCTGGGGCCTTGTAGGGAAGGGGCCTCTTAGGGACCTCTTGGGGGCCTTCTGGGGCCTCTTGGACCGTCTTAGTGCGCTCTTGGCCCGTCTGGCGCCTTCGGAGGCAGTCTTGGGGGCCTCCCTGGGCCGACTTGAGGCCTTCTTGGAAGTCTCGTGGGCCGTCTTGGGGCCCTCTTTGGCCCCTCTTAGGGGCCTCTTTGGGGGTCTTGGGGCATCCCTCTCGGGATCCTCTTGAGCAGTCTGGGGCCGTCCTGGAGCCCGCCGATGAGCCGTCTTGGGGTGCGCGAAGCCCGAAAAGGCGAGAACGTGGAAATCACCCCAAAGCTGCTGCAGATCGATGATTGGGCAGTCTCGAGACCATCTTGGGTGACCTTGTGTCCATATTAGGCCGTATTGGAGACATTTTCAGGCCATCATGTCCGTGATGGTAGCGTTTTTGGACCGTCTGAGAGGCCATTTGGGGCCATCTCGTTCGTCCGAGACTTGGTTTGGAAACCTGCGGGACTGGACAGCCCATGCCTCGCACTTTTTCTGGGTGGCTGGCTGGTTGAGCTGGAGGCCACTGGGAACTTTTTGGAAGGGCAAACAAGTCTACCAGCAAAATTGGCACGCCGAGCGTCCCTTTGCAAACAAAAGGCACCCCCACACTAACAACATAGGTCCGGAGCGGAGGGGGGGTCCGACCCAGTGGTGGGGTAGGAACTTCTGCCCAAGCACACACGTGAAACGCGCTCTTTCAAACAATGAGTCGACGCAGAAGGTCAGGTCAGGTCAGGTAGCTCCTGGAAGTTTACTCGTCACACCAGCTGTGCCACTAGGGGACTTCTGAGCGTCGTCTTCGTGACATGCATCTCGATATGGACACCGCCGCCGAGCCCGAATGCCCCCTCGAGCCCAAGCAAGAGGGAGAGGAGGAGGAGGAGGAGGAGGAGGAGGAGGAGGAGGAGGAGGGAATGGAGGAGGGAATGGAGGAGGAGGAGGAGGAGGAGGAGGAGAAGAAGAAGAAGAAGGCTTCCCAGGTGCTCTTCCTTCTCCTGTCCGTCTTCGAGGCGGAGGGCGATTTTGACGGAGCGATGAACGACCTCGCGGTGGCGGTGGCGCAGAGTCCCTGGGTGCTGCAGCTACTGCAGCCGCAGCAGATCCGGGCCTTCCTGCGCCGCTTCGCGCTGCTGCCATCGGGCGACACCGCTCGGGTCGGCGCCGCTCTGTGAGTCACGCTGGAAGGATCGGGGGACGGGGGAGGACGAGGAGGAGGAGGAGGAGGAGGAGGAGGAGGAGAAATGAGAGGAGGAGGAGGAGGAGGAGGAGGAGGAGGAAAGGGAGGAGGAGGCCGACGCAGCAGGCACATCAAGAACAGCGTCGGCGGGTAGCGCATCATATCCATAGGTATCCACGTCCCCGTCGTCCACACTCCTCGGCCGCGACCTCGTGGATAAGGGGCTGCTTTGCGCGGGAGCCCCGCGCGGAGCGTATCCATGGAGTCGCGCCTCGGCATCCAGATCGGGAGGGCGAGGCTGTAGATATCGTCGCCAATCGTGGGAATAAGAAGCCGGCCGGCCCGCAGGTGCCAAGTGGCAGTGGCTTTTTTCACCAGTGGCCTCCGAGCCCACGGGGGCACCAAACGAAGCCGAACACCGATGGAGACGTGCCTTTGGATTCCAGCTGGCAAGTTTTATCATACGCACCTGCTCGAGGCGGGCAAGGGAGCAGAAGGGTTAGTGTTCAGTTCGTGGCAGCTGGAACCCAGCATCTGCCCTGGCATACCCTTGGGCGAGATCAAGCCTGACCCCACCAAGTGTGGCGCAATGTTTTTCTTGGTTGATTCAGCTCAACAGTCGTCACATTGGGCCCGCTTGTCCTTGCCCGTTCTCCAGAAGACCTCACAATACGGTCGGGAACTTTGGCTCCGCGTGTCGCGCCAACGGTTCTGGCCCACCACACGTCCCAGGTTTCTCTAGCTTCCCGCCCCGCGGAGCGGAGCGACACGCTATCAGCTCAAAGGGCATATCGTGTCGCCAGGGCCGCCGCCGCGACACGCTATGCAACAGCTCTGACCGTGAGAAACCTGAGATGCCAGCAGGCGCCCCACGGAATCGGCAGATCCGCCTGGCGCCACCCAGTCACCCGCTGGAGTTCTGGGGGCTGACGGGCCAACGTGCCCCCCGGATATCTCGTGGCAAAAAAACTCAAGAGGAGGACGACGGCGCGACGAGGAGGAGGATAAGGAGGAGGAGGAGGAGGACGACGATGACGAGGGGGAGGAGAACGACGAGGACGCGACGACGAGGAGGAGGAGGAGGAGGAGGAGGAGGAGGAGGAGGAGGAGGAGGAGGAGGAGGAGGAGGGAGGACGCGCGCCTGCTGCATGGAGCGAGGAGGGCGGGGACGGGGGGGGGGTCGGAGAGCCGCGCCGCCGCGCACCATGGAGGGAACGGCCGAGTGCGCCGAGGCGGGATCGGTTTCGCGCGAGGCGGGGAGCGAAAAGGGGCGCCGCCTCGCCGCCGCGTGCCCGCTCTGCCTCCTGCAAAGGCTACCATTCCGGAAGATGTCCCCATCCTCCTTGAGGAGGAGGAGGAGGAGGAGGAGGAGGAGGAGGAGGAGGAGATGAAGGAGGAGGAGGGGGAGGAGGAGGAGGAGGAGGAGGAGGAGGTGCTGGGCATCTCCTCATCGCGATGCCCTTGTTTTTTGAGGGCGCATCCCTAAGATTGTTTCATCGCTTTTGTTGGCGTGCCAAGTCTTGAGGGTAGGGATGAGTTCGAGGCTGGTAAACAGGATCACCCCGGATGCGCGATGAGGATGCGAGGGCCTTGGACGCCCATGTCGGAGCTTTGGAGCGGGGCGCGGCCAACGACAGTGGCCGAGGAGGGACTGAGAGGACAGGTATGAAAGGGTCCCCTGGTCCCCTCGGGAAGGTTGCCCATGCTTGCTGTGCCGGTTGGCTGAACTTGCTGTCGCCGCGCCTTTCTGAACCTGACGGGCCGCAGAGTGCGGCGGAGACCGGCGTCTGCCGCAGAGGGAGAACTCGAGCTCCGAACAACAGCGCAGGTCCCCCTTTTCGCTCCCCCGTGTCCTCCTCCTCCGCCTCCTCCTTCTCCTCCTCTTCCTCCTCCTCCTCCTTCTCCCCCTTTCTCGCGGACCTCGTGTGCATCATCGTCTGGCCTTCTGAAATATGATGCTTCGTCTCCGTTTGGCCCAGCGCCGACGCGCACAAACGCATATATGTCAAAAGGAACAGAGCTCCGCTTACATCCACCAACCCCCGCAATTCTTGTTGGTAGCGGAGCTGGGAACGATCCCAGCTCGCGGTCTACGCAGGCCGCGCAGAACGCAATGTGGACGCACATTCGCACTTCCCTCACCCTTCGCATGGGTACCACCCTCCATTCCTTGAACAGCCTGTGCTTATGGCTGTTCTGCAACCCCACGGGCAATTCGCCCTTGGCACTCACAGGCGCGATTGGGCCAATGCCACACGTTTGAGTCATTGTGAGAATCAGGCTGCAAGGGCAACGGCAGCTGTTGGCCATGCACGTGAAGGTCACCAGCCCACATGGGCGCCACGACGCCCAGGTTTCCGCACAACCTTCTGGTATTGGTCGCGGAACGCAGTGTCTTGCGTTGGGCCGCATGATTGGTCAGAACTTGGATTGCGAAGGACTTGGGACCGGTGCCGCCGACCCTGCATGGCGGCGATAACCACGACCACAACGACGAAGCTCTCGGGGGCCTCCTGGGGGTAGTTTGGGGGCCTCATGGGAAGCTCTTGGGGGCCGCTTGGGAGCCTCGTGGGGGCTTCTTGGGGTTCCCTGGGGGTCTCTTGGGGGCCTCTTGGGGCTTCTTGGGGGCCTTCTTGGGGGCCTCCGGGGGTCTCCTGAGAGCTTCTCAAGCCGAGGGCTCGAAGTGTTCGTTCGGGTCCCCTGTCTGGGCTCCCTCTAAGAACCATCTTGGGAGCCTCTTCGATTGTCTTGGAGGCCTCTTGGACGGTCTTGGGGCCTTCTTGGGTCGGTTTGGGGCTCTCCTGGACCCCTCTTGGGGCAGTATTGGGGGCCTCTTGGCCTGTCTTGGGGCGTCGGGAAGCTGACAAGGCGCTGACAAGGGGAGAACGCCGAGATCTTTCAAAGCTAGGGGACATCGATGATTGTTGTTCCTTGGTGCCCTGTTTGAAATCCTCTTGGAGGCCCTCTTGGGACTTTTTGGAAACCTTTTGAGCCGTCTGGAGGATACTTTGGCGACTCGGACCGATACTTCGGCGATTCGGGGCCTTCGAAGACCGCCTTGGGGGCATCTTGGGGCATTTTTGCCGCGTCTTGGGGCTTTTCTGGGCCCCCGAAACGCCCAAGGGGGAGTCGCATCTGACCCTGGATTTCCCCGGGACTTCCCCGTGTGTGTGTGAAGTCCGCTCATAGCACCACTGTATCATTACATACCGCTAACAGATTGGCTCAAGGCAGTGGTACAACAGACCGCGATGTCCTCATCGCAGCGCCCTCTTACATCTACCTACGGGAAATTGTGTAGGGTCGACTCTTCGGTCGTTAACCTACACACACAGGTTATCAGCCTATTATTGTACGCTCTTCGTCGCTGCGCCCAGCTTCGTCTTTGATTCCGCCGCATGGTCCTGCTCCCCTCGGGGGGCAGTGCCTCTATGCGTGCAGAGTCTTCGACGGCGCGTGGGCGCAGCGACAACGCGGAGAGGGCGAGAGAACCGTGATACCCCTCCCCCCCTTGCCGCGTCGCTTGCGGCCGCCCTTGGCGAGTTTCTTCCTGACTCGCCGCCGCCGCCGCCCGCGCGCGCCCCCACAAGCACGCCCAAGGCCTCGCATCAAGCCCCGGCGCCTGATGCGTCGCATGGAACGTTTCCTGGTGCCGCCTTCGATTGTTCCCATGCGCCGGCGGAACCACTAGCAGTTGGCCTTGGAATCACCGTTGGACTGGCTTCCCATCCATCCTCTTCTCCAACCTTCGCTGATGGACATTGTGCCGGCGGACACATCAGCAGCGGTGGCGCCAGAGAAACGTTTCCAGACAACGCTTTCGCGCGCCCCCGCCGCTGCACTAAGGTCATGCCCCCCACCAATGTTTCTGTCTCTGGGCACGCGCGCGTCATTGAGGATAGCGCGGGGCGGGCGTTTCAGCAAACGGCTCCAGAGCGGTATCACATCCATTCTCCCAGTAGGGACATTAGCCGCAGCCCCTCTCAGAGGCGCTCCCGGCAAAACTTCCCGCGGCGCGACATTGCGTCGCATGCGTCGCCCTCAGCCAGTGATCTGGCCGAGCTTCGAAACCAGGTTGAAACTTTCACGGCCCAACAGTTGTCGGGTCTTGCTGCGCAGACAGCAAAACCAGGGCCAGAGCTAATTACACCACGCCCTTACCCTTTGTCGACGCTCGGTTCGCTGAAGGTCGATCGATCGTCGCCCAGGTCCAGTATCAAGTCGACCGCGTGGAGTCACGCCGAGGGTCCGACTCCACTGCGATTCAGACGCTCCACGACTACCTCCTCCGAGCGGAGGCCCAACCCGTGAGCGTCAGGGACACGGGCACTGCCGCACTACGCGATGAGCTCCTGACAGTGCGGCATGTTCCAGCTACTGAGGTACATGGGACTACGGATCAACAGCTCCGTGAGGACCTCATTGCACTTCGTGATCACGTTGATGTGACCACTGCCAACCTCCACTCCCAGCATGCCACAACCACGTCCGAGTTGCACGGCAAGTTGTGTACTGCCGAGATGGCTATTGCTCAACGTTTTGATGCATCAGAGGGACGCGTGCGAGCGCTTGAGACCCGAGTGCCCTTCGTCGAGCAACAGTTACTTGAAATGCAGGCTGCACTGGCTGAGTTGCATGCTATACGTACCCAAACTGGCCAGCTGGGTACCCCGACCTCGGTTTACGAGTTTGCCCCCCTCGCTGCCGAGATGGCCGGGGCAAGGGAGGCGGCGGACCACATGCAGTTACGATTCGCCCAGATCTCCCAAGAAAGAAGCGCGAAACACGCAACCGACGATTCCAGGACCTAGAGCATTGGCTGGACCAGTACTCACAGCAAATTCATGACACCAGCGACGAGGTACGTGGTCTACGACAGAGTGTCGAGCAGTTGCAGACGAAACCAAAAACCGCAAAAAACGTAGACGAACACCATGGGAAATCAACGATTTTACCCTCTTCGGGCTCTCTCGGGACGGCTCCCGAAGCTCTCTT